GTGTGGTAGTGCGTAAGCCGCAATGGCGAAACGAGAGGGTAATTATTTTGAGGTGGTTCGACATGCTTCGACGTTGATTTAACAAACTGTTGTAGGCAAACGAGTTTTTGCGCCATCTCGATGGATTGAAACCCGACGTTGACGCGAACAGATTGATAAGAGTGGATGGTGTTAGCACTGCTACTCTGTCCGATAATGCGCGAGAGCAATTGGAGGGTTGGGTAGTCGATGTTTAGTTGAGAAAACAAAAAAAAATAAAAAAGTTGGTTGCACGACTGTGTCGTGTGGGTATGGGTGGGCAAAACAAAAGTTATGCATGCAGCTGCTGTTGGGGGGGGGAATTTTTTTCAGTGGTTGGGGAGAACGACCCATCTTTTTCTTTTTGCCACTTCTACTATCCACGTCATTCGCGTCTTTATCAATCCTCATCATGGCACAAACAGAAACATCACTCACTTTACTCACTGAAAACTCCAAGTGATAAGAAGCTTTCCATTAGCTTACTGCTTCTTTAATTACTATTAGATTTTGTGCTTGAAATTTGTTAACAGCATCCGACTACCATCTCAAAGTTACTGGCAACTTCGAAAGTCCTGTAAGCCTATAAGGTGTGTATGTACTTATAGATAGTGCTTTAGTTTGCTGCTTACGTGTTGGTTTGCGAATTCAACCCTAAATCTTCCTTTTTTTTCGCACTTAGGTAACAAAATGCTCCACCAAGATATTATCGATGCGTGCATACAACACACATGGTACTATTATAAACGCTATGGTAACAGCAGAAACATGGAATACTAAAGATTTTTGGTGGACAAATACAAAGAAAAAAGTTATAGTTGTTTATACTAGCATCTTTTTTGCTAACAGAAGCACTACTGTTCTGGCATTTGCATTTCTTTGTGCCCAGTTTTACTACGGCAACTTGTCCATATAAACGATGAACAGGTACAATGCAGTCCATCGCTTCACTTCGAAAACGGCTACACCACGTTTCAAGATAAGGATCCGTAAATCGGCGACCATCGTTGTCACTGTGGATGCTGTACCATCGAACATATGCAAATACATGCTCTGTTGCTGCCCACGAACGAACTGCACATGCCGAAAGAAAAACTGGATTTCGCATGGCCAGGCCATTGCTTCTCCGCGATCGTCTATGTGGAACAGAACTTGAGCGTGCGCACCACGCCGCGATCTTGCTTCAACACTGCGGTAAGTCTGCCCCATCATCGTTATCGTCTTCATTTTCCAGTACTGGTTACTGACGAAAACTTGCCCATCACCAGCTTGGGTATAGTGAACGAGATAATCGCCATACACAGCACGGTAAAATGCCAACAAGAAATCGTACAGTTGCTCAGGCATAAACGCTATCCGTCCATATTGCAAAGGGTATACATCCGGCGGCAGCGGCTCACTTCCTGTGACGTAGTGGATGGCACCAACATCCGTCGACAACGCCAAAAACGCATGAACATCGAATTGACGTTGGACAACATCAGCTGTGTGTGGGATTGGCTGTACAAGATCGAGAAAGCTGTTCAGGAAGGCGAAATGATGTTGACGGTGTTGGAAGAGGGCTTCAAACGATCGAACGAAATCGCGAGCACCAGTCTTCTGCAGGAATCTTTTCATGAACGTCATTTCGAAGGAGTCCTTTTGGTTGGTGTCGATCTCCTTGAGGTACCCGTTATATCGCTCAGACGAGAAGAGCCAGTAAGCGTATAACGGCCCGAAATCATCGATCGTTGCGGCAAAGTGCATATGAAGGTGCATGTTCGGTGTGATCTCCTCTGGGCCATATATTTGCTCGACACCAGTACAAACTCTGTGAGAAGAGTATTTGCTTCTGCAGTTTCGTCTACGGTAATTGATGGCTTAACCAGCAAACGACAAGCATCGACAAACTTCAACCAATTTTGGAGGTATCTTCTAGGAAGGTGGCCGTTAAGTACAAAAGGTGAATATACGATGCACCACGACTTCTAATCATCTGCGGTCATGAATGAGAAGCCACTTTCGGTTTTGCGGTGCAAGGCAACATAATCGGGAGGGAGAACAATACCATCCGCGAGCACTTGCATCTGTTGAAGGTTGGTTCTGTTGAGGAGTTCTCGGTCAATCCAGACCTTTGCCATGCGCTTTGTTGTGCCGAGAAACAAATTATGCATCGGGTCGATGATCGTGCAACGAACAGGATCAAAGTAGCCGAGGCGATGCAGCTCTGACCATCTTGTCCCATTTGCCCTTTCCAGTTCTCGTCGAGCCTCATCGTCTCAGCATTCCGCCATTGCTCAGCATAAGCCCGGTTGTCCTCCCGCGTTCGCAGCACCCAATTAGCAACGTCAAACCCAGAGTAGTCGATGTTGGTGGTGCCAGGGAAAACGTTGAATTGACGGACGCATTTGTAACAGGCACAAAGGCTCGCATGAGAGGTGAAACCGCTTGTTTTCCTTGCGGCAGGAATATCACAAGCATTGATGAACAATGCTAAGCGGACAAGTGTTCCCTGTGGATACTGGCACGTCCTGATTGTTTTACCGCTGTACCATTCCAACAATTCATCAACCAAGGGTCGAAGGTAATGGTTGATGTCAGATGTACTCGCTTCCCGTGGGCCAGGCATTACACCAAGAAGAATGAGATTTTCTGACTTGTAGCGCTCAGATCGGGGTAGATTGTTTATGGACAAGTATATGGCACCGTTTGAATACGTGGAGTTCAGAAACGGGCCAAACCAATCTACGTTGAGTGTGAACAACAGTGAACGGTGCTGCTCAACAAACGGCCTGCCTTCACGATCACGAAACTCCCACCACATGTCACCGTCGTAAATGTCAAAGGAGTTATCAACAATTCGTCTACGGCTCCGCCATTCCTCGATATTTGCCTCGAATCCTGGCCGCATAAAAAGCCTCTCAATAGTCGCAGATAAGGGCTGATAGGCATACTCTTTTACAGGCACCCAAGGATTACCGACAGTCTTGAACAATACATTGCCACATAAACTGTTGTAGCGGATATCGTTGTTGGTGCATGTCCTTGGGCAATGAGGATCAGATGCAAGATACAGGCTGTGGCAACGAGAACAGCACACATATTTGCGCAAGTGATCGGTCAGTGCGGAGAATCCAGTGATACGGCGGAGAGTAGCAATCGAGGTAGGGATGGAAAAGTTTGGCTGGATATCACCAAGAAGTAGAACGCAAAAGTCGATTATGATGCAGGACAAGTGCTCTGAAACGAAATGTAACTGGAAAAGCACGAGGAAGAGAACGACAAGGACAAAGGGATGCTGAAAGGTATGAATCCCGGTAACAGGAGGAGGAGGAGGAGGATCAAGGTGAGTGTCTTTGGTTAATTTTTGGAAAAAATAGTTGTGAGTACCGTGTGGTTCAGAGCTCTTCTATTTGATTCAATAAAACTGCTTTTTATAAACCAACCTGCGCCAATGGCGGCTGCCTCACTTTGCATTTCGCTCCCATCATTACCGAACTCAACATCAGCAGCACTTATGACAAGAGCATTGTCATTTTGCTCTCCATCGGCAACTTCATCCTCAACTGCGAACACATTATCCTCAGCAGAAAAAGGGACATGAAGACTTGAAACGATGTCTACAATACATAATAACGATTAATGACTTATTCGCACATCTATTTCACTAACAATATAGTCTCATACCAGGGGAGGGATAATCGACCATCACATCATCATCCATGTCCATATCAATATCGTCGCCTAGCGGCAATGGTGACGGTGACGAGCTTTGGCGCAAATTGGCTTCGATATTAGCTACAATGGCGCCCACTAGTAGATATATAAGATACAACATTATTAACTCAATCTTCGGGATGTGTGTAGAGCAAGTACCATTGTATGAGAGGCTCTGTGAAGCACCATTTAAGACGCGCCGCTGATGATATTCGTGCGTTCTTCTTGGCACCATTTGGAAGCCGGTGTTGCTGTTTGCCCTCAAGCACAATGGACAGAAACACGCAACTAACAATTCGTTGCGATTGAGCTCCATTGTGCCAAAAAAAAAGTAGAGATTCAGAGCAAGTCGAAGTGTCCAGCAGTAGCACAGAGCCTCTCTTATATATAAACGCATCTGTACGCTTCTATATCTTTTACTATAACACATTATGCACTTCCTACTTTGTGTTTTTTTATCACATGTAGCACTCTCTGTAATGATACACATTTACATAAAGAGTCGGGGACATGGTTTTTGCATAACAGGGTGTAAATAATATGGGGGACCATGTCTTTATTAACGTTGTAATATGCAAAATAAAAAAGAGGATTGTGTGAACCAAAAAAGCAGATGCCCTTTTACTAGTCGTTGCATATACTATGATGGTGCTGCATAAGAAGCGGCAACATGAACTACCTGAAAAAAAACAATTGGGGGAGCAGGGAAAGGCTGTGTAATAAAGGAACAGTGTTTGGAAAATTGAGCATCTCAAAAAAGGACAAATACATATTTATCACTACTACTTTGTGTGCATTAGCTCCTTTCTCACTTGCATATGAAGGCTTCCTACAAATAAAATAAGAAACCAAGATGCATTGCTACCGAATATAGTAGCTGTATTTGCTGCAGGCTACATACTTTATTTTATCATACCAGAACCAGGTCATAGGCATATATCACCCTGTTTTTAAAGCCTGTGATATGTACTTTTTCGCGCAGTGTCGCTCTAGTACTCGACCGACGCAGTCATCGTTATCAAATGATCAAAACGTACAACATAGTACCACTACTACTTCTTCTGATTCTGCTTCTGCCGCTGCTCCTGCATGGGCTCGTGAGCTACTCCAACGTATCGAACGTTTGGAACACAACACCACCACACTACCCTTGCATCTAATTCGAGCGCAACAGATGATCCTATCGACGTCGATAGCGACATCGTCTGCGCGGACATGTATATCACCGAACGACCAGCTGACATAGACTTTCATCCTCACGCCGAATTCAAACAACATCTGCCAGGATGGCTCACGACTTCTTCCATAGCCCTCTTCCTGAAACAGATCGACGTCGTTTCTTATCTGAATGCACACGCAATGTAGAGCGTACCTATGTCGCTCCTAGCCTCAACAACGTACCGGTGGCCACACAGACAAAAAGTGTTGACACTCAGTTTATAGATGTGCAATATCGTCTATCCGGAATCACCTGCCCTATCAATTACTTTGTACACCGCGTGCTACTGGATGGAAGTGTCACTGCAGACGCGGCTATCGAATTTGCAAACGTTATTCATGCCCTTTTGGCAGATACAGCCTCGCACATCATTCAGGTTCGCGTTGAGAACATATTTCTGGCTACTAGAATTCGTGGATCAGCCCCTCATATGGCACCAGCAACGCAGGAACCACTGTTGGATCCCAAAGCCTTGGTTGAACATGTCCATTTGTCAAAGGCAGTACAAGCTACCAGCATGCACTCCCAGAACCTGCAACCGAGGAAAGGAAAGGCTAATTCCCCTCGCACAAACTCGCATAACTCAGCCCAGCACGAGCATGACTACGATGAACGTAACACTAGACACTAGCAGCACGCACCAGGTTTTCAACAACGCCCTCCGCAGGGCAAGACATCGGGCTACAAAAACCGGAACAATAACTCCCGCGAGTAGGTGGATAATTGTATCTAGGGTTCTTCATTTTATCCGACATCTGGTAATCCGATCTGCTCATCTGTCTATCTGAATTTTTCTTATGAAAGAATTCTTTGCTTCATGAGTCTTTTGAATCCTGCTCCTAGTGTAAAGATCACAATATACATTACAGCAACAGTAGCATTCTGGTACTGTCATGCTGCCACTAATGAATGTTGTAATTCTTTACATTACAAAGAAAACACATACCGATCCAATGGTTGTTTACTTAATACAACCTATCAGAGACACATTTCAACATAATCATACGCTGTCCATCTCTTTTCAGTGCACTTTTATATTTAAGGTATTATGATGACATTCGTGAATGTAATCTTTATTAGTAAGATTTTTTATTTTAACACAAACTTCGATTATTATGCTGTCTAAAAGTAGCATATGTTGCTGATTGATCCAAAATATACCTGCCATCTCATATAATTTACATGCCCTTGTGTCATAATTATTCTCGACCACAACGATTTTAAAACTACTTCTTCAACATGACTAGCATCAACCATCATGATCATCCGTCTCCACTATCCTTATTACTAGCTACCAATCCTTCTGGTTACTACATTATTAAATTCGATAGTAATATGTATATGTATATAAAATAGTTTTCGAATAATAAGCAAAAACCAGGTCATCTAAATATCTTATTTCCTACCTCATCCTCATATTTTCTTCGCTTGTCCTATCTTGGTTTGTCCTTACTAAGACCACTTAGCACACTCTTACCTGGTCAGTTTGTAAATGTTTTGTCCTTATTCCCTTTCGTCTTCTGTCTTGTCTTACTCTTGTCCGCACTTTACACCTTGTCAAGTATTCCATATGATCGTACACTTTACGATAACACATAGTGTTGATTATCATTACTATGAAGCAGCTTATCAAAGGGGTATTGTGATATATTATTTTTGCAAATGACGTATGAAGTACCACTTCTTTCATTACTACTCTTACATAAGCCTCGTAATAAAAAACGCAAGAATAATAAACTTATCACTAAGGCATTATCTGAAAATACGGAGCAGTATAAAGATTTGGATTATCTCATGGTTTTCTCCAAGTTATGGTATTCCTGCAGTTCTTTTCAGTACTCCGCTGTCAGTAGCAAACATGAACGGTTCAGTAGAAGTTGTATAATTGTTGTTCCAAAGCGTATAATATTTTGCCTGTTTCTTTATGCTCAAATCACTTCTACGTTTGCTTACTGTTTCATTTCGATTTTATAAACGCATTTCTCTACCAGAATTGCAACAACATTTGAGATCTGAATGCACTTACTTCCCCTTTTATCTGCGCACTAATATCCGCATATCCGATCCGTATCTGCATGTATCCGATCCGTATCTGCATGTATCCGATCCGTATCTGATCCGATCCGATCCATGAATAACACTAATAATGAGATAAAGCCTTCGGCCTATGGCCTCGGCTGAAAGATACATTATTTGGTGGATCTAGTGATTGTGACTCCAGAGCATTCGAGACCGGGGCCGAGGAACCAAGGGCCAAGGATGAGAGATTGGAACGCGTCTCGCGTGAAATCCGGTAAAACAAATCGAACATCTGACGTGACGACCAAGAACCATGGGCGACTATATCGTCTACCACAGCGCCCGCCCATGCTGCTCGTGTAGAGCCAAGGGCCCGAGCCCGTATACGCCGTCCACCAGGGGGGGACTGGGATAAGAGCCATAATGAAATTGATGTGCTTGCCAATTCGTTGTGAACCGATGTGTTGAGAAGTATTGTGCAGATCACGAATAAAGAAGTGATGTTGTGTTCGGATAAGACAGGATGGGGAGCATGACATGACTGTGACGCAAAGCGTGTCTTGTATACTGCAAAAGCGGTCACTGGGCAGAAAAGAGGCTCCTCGTGCGAATCGATGCTGATGGTTTTGGTGATGCGTTGGCCTTGGCGACGTTCTTTGGGACACACAATGGTGAGCGTGAGTTTACCGGAAGCTTCGTCGATGAGACAACGGTCCAAATCCGTGCGTTCGATGTCCGAAGGGTGCATGAAACCACAAATGGCCAACAGCCAACAATTCTTGGCAGTTAATTGAGCTGGTGAAAGATGAACATTGGGGCCAAGGTGGCGAAAGTGATGTAGAACTGGTGTAATATCTAAGTTTGCAGGAGGAACCCGTCGCAAGGTAGTACCGTCTAATGCCTTCATGAAAGAGGTATAAAGCCATAAAGAGAGAATCTTGTCTCGATCGTCGAATAAATCCAGGAGGGCCGAACGATAGACCTTAATCATATTTATTGACCAGTGTAGTTTGTCTTTGCTATATCCTAGGAAGTTGACCAAATGTTTTCCCGTTAGCTCCAGGGCCTCGAGGCGACGAGATTGACACCAAGATAAAAAGTGTTGCTGAATATACTGGTATTGCTGACTGGCATGATGGTGGTCAGAGTGTAAAATCACTGCTCCGACGGCCTCGGTGGCTCCAGCTTCTTCCAATCGGCGCATCTTATTTGCCAGGCTGTGGGAGACCAATGGGGGTTCTTGGATAGCACCGCTTGCTTCTTGCCCCGGAGCCAGGAGAACTGCTTCGCAGGTATGCGCCAGGGACGTGGTCGTGTTACTTGCTTGAGGGTCGGGAACCAAATTGCTGTCGGCCACCACAGTGTGATCAGTGTCGCATTGACCGGCTCCTGTTGAAGTTTGCAGAGAACTGCTGGAATCAGGCTCCATGGGGGGCACAGATAGACCTGGCGAAACTGTGACCAATCGAGGGCCATGGCGTCGGTGGCTAGTGCAGTCGGATCCCAGCGCCATGTCACAAATTGTGGCGTCTTGGCGTTCTGGCGAGTGGCAAAGAGGTCGATCTGATGAGGACCCCAGCGGCGATCCAACCGACGGAAGAAGGATGGGGCGATGCTCCACTCCAGTTGGGTTGCTAGATGGCGCGACGGTGCATCCGCCGGATTGAATGCTGAAGGAACGTATGTGAGATGTAGACGGGTGGAAGTTTGAAGACAAAAGTTCCATATACGTCGAGCGAGTTTCATAAGTCAGGGAGACCTGGTCCCCCAAAGTTGTTGATGTAAGTGATAGTTGTCATATTGTCGGAATAGATGCGAAGAGACTGACCCCGTAGATGTCGCAGATGTACGGTCTTCTATATCACCATTAGTTCTTTCCAATTGATGTGTTCTTGAGAGGCTGCTGCGCCAAAAAAAGATCGTTGGTTGCTGACTATCCCCCAGCCCTCGTCAGATGCATCGGTGAAGGTCTTGTGCTGTGGGGTGACTGGTAGGAAGCTGACACCATTCCACTGGTGTAGGCGATCGCGCCACCATCGAAGCTCGTCGAGTGCTGGTGTACTGATCGTTATCGTCGACGTCCATTGTTGCGTTTGCTGGAGTTGCTGATTCTTCAGGGCGAGTAGATAGCATGTTTTCAGTCGTGCCAGAAAAACTGCCATCATTAGGGCCTGTGCCTTGCCGATGAATGCTGCTAGTTGTCAGATGGTGCAATGACGACGATGAATGAGACGGTTGGCTTCCCAGCGCAAATCGCGAATCTTTGAAGCTGGTTCCGTTAATGACATATCGCTGGTGTTGATGCGGAAGCCCAGATGATCGATAGATTGTTGACGCACCAGACATGATGTTTGTTGGTTCACGATCCAACCCAGAGACGACAGCTTGCGCAGCACCATTTGAGTATGCTGGAGACAGGTTGACTAGTCGCGAGCAACGATCAATAAATCGTCTAAATAAGCGCTGACACGAATCTGGTGGTTTTTACGCGCCCAACGAAGCACCAGTCGAAGGCATTTGCTGAATACCAAGGGGGAAAGAGCCATACCATAGGAGAGGACGCGGTATTGATAAAGTTTGTCTTGCCATCGAGACTGTAGAAACTTGCAGGAAGTCTGGTGGACAGGAATGTGCATAAAAGCGTCGGTTAAGTCAATGGATGTACAATACTCGTTCTTGTTGATCATTGAGCATACCGTCTTGATGGATTCGATCTTGAAACTACGCTTGGGCAGGTATACGTTGAATGGCTTGAGGTTGAGAACGGGTTAAAGGCTGGACGTTTTTTTTGGGATAGTGAAGAGCGTCGAGCGGAAACCTTGGGAATGACATAGAACTTCTTCGATTGGCCGTTTTGAAAGAAGGTCTGAAATCTCCTTGTCGATGATAGTATGGTCTGAGGTAAGAAAATGAGAAAAAGAAGGAGAGAAGGATGTAGTAGTAGGTGGTTGTTGTACAAGTGGAATCTTATAACCATGGCTGATGACGCACCGTACCCAGGCTTCGTCGGTGAGCTTCAACCAGGCTTGCTTGAATAACAATA